TTTTTTTGGCAGAACTGGGGTTTGAACTCAGGCTCTTGTGCTTGCCAGGGAAGTGCTTATTCCACTGAGCCATCTCCCCAGCCCCCAAATTTAAGTTTTTGAAGAATGTAATAATATTCAGTTAACGTAGACAAAATAAAGACAGAATACGAAATTATTTATACTAACATTTAATTTTACGCACACTAATAATCAGCAAATGATAAGGCCAGGTATGATTTAGCAATACCACTACATTTAGAAAAAAAAAATATGGAAGATGAAACAGTAGTAGGGAAAAAGGTTAAGAAGGAACGTTTAAAAACAGAGAAAGAGATTGGGTGGTGTGGTGATGCATGCCTGTAATCCAAGCAGTTGGGAGGCTGAGGCAGAAGGATCACTGCAAGGTTGAGGCCAGCCTGGGTTATACAGAGAGGCAAGCCCTGTCTCTAACACAAAAGATGAGAGAAAGAGATAAATAATATTAATCTGAGATTTCAGTTATAGTAAGCTACAGTATAGGCATTATAAACAGCAACAAAGGCTACTTTTACAAAGAGCGCCAAAGGGGGTAGGGAAACAAATGGAATAAGAAATGTGAAAAAAGCAAGGTAATTTGTTAGGGAAGGACCAGAGTATTCAGATTTTTATGCATACAAAAGAATAGATGATCCTTGAGATTCAATTTTAAGTGAATGAAAAATATTTATCATAGGGCCGGTGGTACAGCTCAGCAGACTAAGCATTTGCTTAGGAAGCACAGGGGCCAGGGTTCGATCCCTGGCACTGAATGCAACGCCGGACCCACCCTTGGGCACACTAAGCCAGCAATGGAGTCTGGTTATGGTGGCACACGCCTGTAATCCCACCACTAGAGAGGCATAAATCAGGAGGATCACTATGTGTCTGAGCTGCACAGTGAGACCCCCTCCCCACACAACCTAAAAAAAAATCATTCATTAGAGTAAAAATTTCTATTACATGAAGAATATTTTCACTTTGCTAAAGAAAGTGAAAATATTGCTAAAAAAAAGTTCCTTAAGAAAACTGATGTGAACTTGCCCACACACAAGCACTGGCTGATCTTTCTTATGTTTTAAACAGGTACAAGAATGTAATGCCTATCTTGAAAGCCCTACCTTATAAGGGCTGACCAGTCTTCTCTTAATATCCAGCCTGTAGCTTCTGTATTGCTCAGCATCACTCATATCAGTCACCAGAAGTCGAAGAATTTCATAAACCCGTCTAGAATGTTGCTAAAAAAAAAAAAAAAAAAAAAAAAAAAAAAAAAAAAAAAAAAAGCCAACTGTGAACATTTTCAAATTAAAAAACT